TTGCTGTTGCTGCTGCTGCTGCTGCTGCTGCTGCTGCTGTTGCTGCAGGCCCTGGTGCAGTGCCGTGTCTGCGTACGCTGCGCCTTCAAGCTAAATTTCGATGCTTTGAAAAAGGAGACACACAGAGAGGAGACACGGAGACGATTGGAGAAGCAGCAGCAGCGGCTGCTGCGGCAGCTGCAGCGGCTGGAGCGGAGAAGTGCCTCGGGCAGCCGCAGCCGCAGCCGCAGCAGCCACAGCAGCAGCAGCAGCAGCAGCAGCAGCAGCAGCAGCAGCAAACAGAAGAAAGGAGCAGCGAAAAAGCTGTCTGTATCACCGTCCTTAGCACCTGGAGAAATCGTCCGGGTCAGCAGCAGCAGCAGCAGCAGCAGCAGCAACTGCAGCAGCAGAAGCAACAGCAGAGACGTTGCTGAGACCTTTGTCATCGGCAGCAGCAGCATAAGCAGCAGCAGCGACACAGATGCATCTGTTGTGTTCAAAGGGGAGCAGCAAGCCCCATGCAGCAAAGATACTGCCCCACAAGATGCAGCAGCAGCAGCAGCAGCAGCAGCAGCAACAGGAGGATCAGCTGACAGAGCAGCAGCTGCTGCTGCTCCGAATGCAGCAGCAGCCACATCTCCCAAGGCAGCAGCAGAAGCAGAAGCAGCACCTGCTGCAGCAGCACATGCTGCAGCAGCAGATACTGCAGCAGCAGATACTGCAGCAGCACAGACACCTTCCAGGAACTCTCGCAGCGAGGGCCCCCGGGAGCAGCAGCAGCAGCAGCAGCAGCAGCAGCAGCAAAGGCAGCAGCACAGCAGCCTGCGGCGGCTTGCTGCTGGCTCTGGGAGAAGTATCAGCCGCAGCGTCAGCAGAAGCATCAGCAGAAGCCCAGCTAGCTGTATTCGCAGCCGCAGCAGGAGCCGCAGCAACAGCAACCGCGGCCAACGCAGCAGCAGCAGCAGCAGCAGCAGCAGCAGCTATGGTAGGGAGACATCGAAGCAGCTACAGGGCAGCAGCAGCAGCGCAGCGCCAGTAGAGTCGCGCCGCAGCAGACCTTCTGGCTTCAGCAGCTCTCCTGTACGTCAGCCCCAAAGTAGCAGCAGCAGCAGCAGCAGCAACAGCAGCAGCAGCAGCAGCAGCAGCAGGGGGCACTTGCCGGTGTGCAGTGAAAGCCACGGCAAATGGGATGGTAACAGCAGCAGCAACAGCAGCAGCAGCAGCAGCAGCAGCAGCAGCGGGCGCCTTATGGAGGGCATCAAAAGATATGCAGATACCCGCAGCAGCAGCAGCAGCAGCAGCAGCAGCAGCAGCAGCAGCAGCAGATATCCCCAAGACAGCAGAAGCAGTAGAAATGACTGCCACGCGAGCGTTGGCGATAGGTTTGCTGTTCACAGCAGCAGCAGCAACAGAAGCCGCAGCAGCAGCAACAGATGTCAAGCCCAAAGCAGCAGCAGCAGCAGCAGCAGCAAATGCCTTCCCTACAACAGCAGCAGTAGATATCCCCCCGACTGCAGCAGCAGCAGCAGCAGATACCCCCGCGACTGCAGCAGCAGCAGCAGCAGCAGATACCCTCCCGACTGCAGCAGCAGCAGCAGATACCCTCAGGACTGCAGCAGCAGCAGCAGATACCCCCGCGACTGCAGCAGCAACAGCAACAGATACCCCCCCTACACCAGCAGCAGCAGCAGCGCATACCCGCTGCCCAACTGCAGCAGCAACGGCAGCAGGTATCCACCGAGCAGCAACAGCAGCAGGTACCCGCACTGCAGCAGCAGCAGCAGCAGCAGCAGCAGCATGCACCCGCCCTACAGCAACCGCGACAGCAGCGGACCCCCTCCCTGCAGCAGCAGCAGCAGACTCCCCCCTTACAGCAGCAGCACCGCGTACCCCCCGTATAGCAGCAGCAGCAGCAGCAGCAGCAGATACCCGCCCTACAGCAGCAACAGCAGCAGCGGATACCCGCCCTACAGCAGCAGCAGCAGCAGCAGCAGCAGCGGATACCCGCCCTACAGCAGCAGCAGCAGCGGATACCCACCCTACAGCAGCAGCAGCGGCAGACCCCCTCCCTACGTTAGCAGCAGCAGCAGCAGCAGCAGCAGCAGCGGGTACCCCCCGTACGCCAACAACAGCAGCAGATATCCCCCTTACAGCAGCAACAGCAGCAGATACCCGCCTCACAGCAGCAGCAGCAGCAGCAGCAGCAGCAACAGAAATGGTGCTTACAGTAGGGTAAGAGAAGGATCAGAGGGTTGCAGCAGAGCGCCTGAACTGGGTCGTCGCCGCGGCAGCAGCAGCAGCAGCAGCAGCAGCAGGAGAAGCAGCAGCAGCAGCAGGCGGAGACAGTACTTACTAACCCAAGGCAGCAGCAGCCGTCTTAGGGGCTTCAGCAGCAGCAGGAAGCCCGCATGCATGCGCAGCAGCAGCAGCCGCATCTCCTTGGAGAGACAGGTAAGGGGAGCAGCAGCAAACAGCAGCAGCAGAAATGAAAGACTCAAGAGACGCAGCAGCAGCAGCAGCAGCAGCAGCAGCAGCAGCCGCTCACGGAATTTCCGTGCACGCCATAGAACGCAGGCGAGCCGAGCGCATGCAGAGAAATCTGCTGCTGCTGCTGCTGCAGCAGCAGCAGCTGCTGCTGCTGCTGCTGCTCCTCGCGGGGCGAGGGCGGGGATTGGCCCGCGCAGCA